CTGCCCAGGAGGAAAACCTATGATGAGCACCCCATCGCACAAACCTTGGGAAGATTCCATCAATCGTATTCATTCCTTCGTGATGTGAGGCATATGGTGCGCTTGCGCAATAAGCAACAATATGATGAAAGAGATCGACAACAGGAATTTGCGGCCGGTGATCCGGAATATTACCATGATCCGACCCTTAAGCCTTACACAGCGCATAAACTTGCATCACCATGAAAGCCACATAATATTGTTACAAAAGTGTTGACACCAAAGAAGTGCATACTTCAGCATAAACTGACCAAGCGAGAAGTAACGGCCCATGTAGATAATTTACGCACTGCCAACCCATGCTTGTGTTGGGACCAGCTGCGCCCTGACACATTGAAGCACAAGACAGAGCTGCGGAACAAGCATGTACAACCTAATGCAGATACTCGTTCAGATGTCTCTGATCAAGGTAATCAGGTACGAGTGGAGAGCTAAGCAACCAGCAGTAACTTGTGCATTCAAGGCTGACAGCCGGCGGCCCGTGAAACCACTATAGGTTGCGTAAATGGTTTTAGGGATGCCGCGTTGTGAACACTGTCATAACCCTGTCACTGATGACTCGGATAAATCTGACCAAAAGAATGACACTATGAATGGATGAATACAGAATGACCGAGAGATTAAGACTTAGATTCTTGATACAAGTATGAGTAAAATGGCAATTAACCATGAATCATAATTGCCTAGGAGCATTAGGCATAAAGCTCAAACGCCACTGATGACAATATTTCTATTGTTTTTGGTACATGTACAGCTACGTGTACGGCAACAAGGTCCGTCCTTACTACAGCCACATGTCTTTATTGCAATAGTATTGGCACAAAATGAATTCAGTGTCATGAGCCGTGGTTTCAGAATGCCATCCTGCATATACCAACCGCAGTCAAATGCTGAAGGAATGCACTGAGTACTATCTACACACTGGTTCCAAATGAGGCTCTGATAGTGGGCTCGATGACAATGTAGTATCAGTGCGTCTTTCGTTGGTGGCAAATAGTCAATATTCGTCTTGCATTAGAAGAACTTCGACAAGCGAATCTCCTGTATGACTACCAATGTTGTCGTTGGATCATACAGTTTACATATAAATGCTTCCACTGATGATAGCAATTAATCTAGGTAATAGTGGTAGATTCTGTTCCAACCCATGAATGCGATCTGGATCTTCAATAAATACTTTCCATGCAGCGTTTTTAGAAATTCCTGCAAACTGACTCGTCGTGTCACTTCCCGTTAGCGCATGAAAAGCTAACAATCCCTTTCGAGTGTTGTTGTTTATTGCAATGTCATGGACTCTTATCATCCAAGGAGATTTTGAAGTTCCGACCTTAATTCATCCAAACCTCCTGCGACAACTTTGCCGAAAACACTGTTAGCATCATTAACACATCAGTATCCCTGCAAACTACAATCGCTTATATCCGTGGTTTGCAGCATCGCACGCATGAAGAACAATTCGCGTGTCAGCCTCCTCGTGGTTTGCTCAAAGTGTTGACACATCACGTTCCGAGGTACATATCGTTTTCGTTATTTCCGTAAACCCTCCACACACAATTATCTCTTTACCGCCAAGTTCACTAGAGATGATCAATTCCTCTGACAAGAAACGAGCAAGATCGGCTTTGTTTTCAGCGAGAGTGATAAAATTAATGTCTGGAGTTTTGTGTCTTTACCTGTAATCAACCGCCTAATTTGTTTTGTCCCTGATCGTCGTCTTTCTCGTGTACCTTCTTTAATAGAATTCTCCTCGTATCGATCAAATATAATATCTATCCTGTCTGAATTTCTACCGTGTGACTTCACACAGTTCACAAACACATCTGCTAAGTCACCAAACGTAACTGCTGTTGTCGGTTTCCCAATGGATTGTACCACTGCCATACCATCAATAATGGTACATGTTTTAACGATGTCACTGATAGGAAAATCTGGCTGGAATGCATCTTTCGACAGAATATTTATTAGTTGCGATTTGTCCGCTTTTCGGAGAGAGAGAGAGAGAGAGAGAGAGAGAGAGAGAGAGAGAGAGAGAACCAGAGAGGGAGTGTGTATGTGTCAGAGAGAGAGAGAGAGAGAACCAGAGAGTAGAGAGAAGAGAGAAGAGAGAGAGAGAGAGGTGTGCGTGTGTGTGTGAGAGAGAGAGAGAGAGAGGTGTGCGTGTTTGTGTTGTGTGTGTGACAGAAGAGAGCAGAGAGAGATGAGCGTATGCATGTGTGCTGTGTGTGTGTGTGTGTGTGTGTGTGGTGTTGTGTCGTGTTGGGTGTGAGAGACGAGAGAGAGAGAGAGAGAGAGAAAGAGAGAGGTGTGCGTGTGCTGTGGTGGAGAGAGGAGAGAGAGATGTCGTTGTTTGTGTTGTGTGTGTGACAGAGAGAGAAGAGAGAGAGGTTTGGCATGTGTGGTGTCGTGTGTGTGTGTGTGTGTGTCGTGTGTGTGAGAGAGGAGAGAGAAAGAGAAGAGGTTGGCGTGTGTTGTGTGAGAGAGAGAAGAGAAGAGAGTGTGGCGTGTTTGTGTTGTGTGTGACGAAGGCAGAGAGAGAGGAGAGAGGGCAGAGAGAGAGAGAGAGAGAGAGAGAGAGAAGAGAGAGAGAGATGAGAGACAGCGCGAAGAAACCAGAGAGGTTGTGTGCGCGCAGCGCGTGTGGTGTTGAGAGAGAGAGAGAGAGAGAGAGAAGAAGAGAGAGGTGTGCGCGTGTGTATGTGTGATGTGAGAGAGAGAGAGAGATGTGTGCGTGTTTTGGTAGTGTGTGTGTGTTTGTGGTTGTGGTGTTGGCCGCCGGCCGGTGTTGTGTGTGTGTGTGTGTGTGTGTGTTTGGAGAGAGAGAGAGAGCGAGAGAAGAGGAGAATGCAGAGAAGTGTGCGTGTTTTATGTGTGTGTGTGCCCAGAGAGAGAGAGAACAGAGGGGATCAGCGCATGCTCAGGACGAAAAGCCGTTGGAACCAACGTTGGCAATCTGACGTTGGGCCAACGTTTGTCAATATGGCGTTGGCCAACGTTGGGCAGCTGAGCAAAAAGCACGTTGGCGCAAACGTTGCTGTCTGACGTTGGGCCCAACGTTGTCAATATGAACTTGGGAGCCAACGTTGGCACGCTGAGTAAAGAAGCCGTTGGGCCAACGTTGGCACGCTGAGCAAAAAAGACTTGGATCAACTTTGCTTCTGACGTTGGGCCAACGTTGGCTGCCAACGTTGGGCCCAACGTTGGCCCAACGTTAGCATGAGCTGAAGACAGCCGTTGGCCCAACGTTGGCCCAACGTCAGCATGTTATCTGGGATTACCGTAAATGTTCCGCTAAAGTCCTGTTGCTACAAGGTACACACTCAGGAGGAGACCTATGGCGTCATGAAAATGTGGGTAAAGACACCAAAATTATGCCTCTACGATATTTAGAATTTTAGTTATTCAAACAAAATAAACCAATTTCATTGGCGGCCATCTTGAAATCCAAGATGGCCGCCATCCTATGCTTTTATAAGTGTTATAACTGGGTTCACCACTATCCGAAATGTGGGTATAGACACCAAAATTATGTCTCTACGACGTCTTGGAGTCTAGTTATTCAAAATAAACAAATTTCACTGGCGGCGATATTGAAATCCAATATGGCCGCCATCCTATGTTTTTCTAAGTGTAATAATTGGGTTCTCCACTATCGAAAATGTGGGTATAGCCACCAACATTATGTCTCTACGACGTCTAGGAGTCCAGATATTTCAGAAAATCCATTTTCACTGGCGGTCATTTTGGATTTCAAGATGGCCGCCACAATACGCAAAAGTCAGCCTGGAAACATACCCAGTGAAACTCCCCAAGTATCATAGAAATGATATTTACCCGTTTCCAGCCTCTACCCAAAAAGTTTAGGCTCATCCTTATTTTGGATATCTGCCCCCTGACGAACGTATTAACGGATTGACATCAATGTTCAATAAGCATCGCAGTAAGCACCCACTACTCCCGTTATTGGGAAAATTCCAGAAAGTATTGTATGGAGTAGCACCAGAAGATGACATTATTGAATTGCAAGATAAACTAACACACTTTGAACTAACCCAAGAACCTTTCCAGCATGTCATGGAAGACTCCTTAACAGTGTTTAATCTAACCAAGGTTCAGGTCTATGGTGGCCCGGTGACGCCATAGCGATTTTCCGGTGCTTAACAGCAGTTTTTCCAATATATTTTTATTATTTGAGAAAAAAATCTTCTTTTTTTATTTTTATTTACTTATTTTTAATTTATAAAAAAATATAATTAAATAAAACAAAATAAAAACAAAAATATAATAAAAATGCTGCACTGACCCAGCAACGACATAGCACCATAGCCATACTATGGTGGCCCAGCAACGCCATAGCCCACAATGCAACTCGGGTAAACCTTATACATATCCCACAATCCCTTGCGAGCATGTCTTCGCTCTATCGCAATCGGGAACTCTCGGACTATTCAACAGAATAGCGCCTCGGGATTAGCACGGAGTCCACCATGTTGGAATATACGTCACGTAATGGGAACTAGGTGGTGTTCGAGAAATCGTGGTTGTCAGGCACAACAGCCGAGTTAAAAACATTTGTAAGTAACACAGAAGTCCAAACTCCCTTAGATTATTTTATTCAGACACCATGTGCATCGATCTGCGATCCGTGTGTCAAATTTGTAGACACGGCATTGACATATCGTCAGAACGTTATAGGTTTAGTATCTGTGTCTGACAACCACGCTTCGATATCACACTCGGAGCCATCAAACATTGATGTATTCGCATCTCCAACAGCGACCCTGCCTTTGAAACGACCAGCACAGACCCCACCATCGGCGTTGCGACGGTTGTCCGTCGCTGAACAGTTATCAACGTCGGTGGAAAAGCTAAATCTCCGCATTTCAAGCAGATCATCATCGACATGCAAGAAGAAAATTACATTTGATCACGTCTACACGAAGGGCCAAGTACATACTGATTCCCTTTCCAATTTCGACATGTCTGTAATGTTCACTGAGTTCGATGAAGAAATTGACAGTGAAATAGCAAAAATGTCACATGGCAGCAGTGTGTTGTTTGCCATGAAAGACCCCGACAGTCTATCGACAGACAATTTATTCAGGCGAACTGTCCAGGAGATGTTCTTACACTGCCCCACCCTACTCAAGTGTCTAACATCAGCACTACACAAGTCGGGGAGCACAGAGACCATGGTGGCCACCATAGCTACGATATATGGCATGCTGATGCACAGTAGAAACACCAAAGCGTCGGCCATCCAGAGGCTGTATTCATCTCTTGCTATCAGATACCATGCTGACAAAGAGGTTTGTGTAAGAAAGTGTATCGTTACGCTCCGATCATATGGTTATGTACAATAATTAATTGATTAATTTAACTGCTGATCCATGATAAAGTTTGCTCTTTTTTGTTTTGTTCAATTCTGTTTTGTTTACCCATTAGTTTTTGTTTTATCAATGGTTTGTGGTTGGTACTGACAGAATAAATTGTCACCGGGTTCAACTCCTGGAGATCAGGCACGACTATTCAGATGCAAAATGAGAATTAAACTATCAAAACATTACTGATATTTAAATATATTTATATTATGTTAAACTTTCATTACTATGATCCATTATTAGCTATTATCTCAGGGTTACTATGATCCATTATTATTATACATTTCTCAAATATGTCAGTTTTCTGTACCATCACTTTGGTTTATTTTTGTTTTGTTTCTGTTTATTTTAGTTTTACTACCGAAGGGTTTTGGTGTGACTGATAGGTCCAATGGTTTTCCGATTGGGGTTTTGGCTGGAACATTTTATTTATATTTGGTTTAAACAATATTTATTTCATAATTCAAAACAGGGTAATTTACAATAATACAAAATAGGATTTGACAACAAGCGAGATCGCTGCAATATAGTAAGCCATTTCCTTTAAGTATATATTTACATACATACATTTGCCGTGTTTGATTTATGCTGCTACAAAGTTGAAGAATATAAATACATGTATACATTTAGTGCATGCATGCACACACGCACACACGCACGCACGCACACACACTTTACTACATTTGCGTACAGTCTATCTTGTATCTTCATACAACACTGTTGGTAAGGTCATTTTGAATGATTGTGTGACCATTTCAGCTCAGATTTTGAGGCATTCTTGTAATGTAATCTCACATGTTCTATTTCAGCTGCTGTCCAACCTCAATAAGGTTCATTTGACGCTTTCGGCTGAATCCAAAAGGAATCTTGTGAAGGAATTTGGAGACCATATGGAGGATAAACTGATTAGGGACCTCTCAGAGGGGAAGACGGGCAAACTGAATGGGGATAACTTGGACATTCGAGTTCGAACAAGTGACATCAGGATGAATAACAGGGACAAGGACTACCATTTCTTCACATCCTCCATCATCGACCGAGTTAAGGTCACCACATACTCCGTGGCGCCCCCTGAAATTGGCATGGATATCGGCAAGGTTCTGACCTCTGCTGAAGAAAAGGGGACTTACAGGAATGGCTTGAAGGTCGTGCTCTCTCGCATCATGGTACATATTTGTCTAGTTTATATTTAAAAACTTCTCATTAAATGTAGCCTATCTTTGAAATTTAAATTAGTTTCATATAACAAACAAAGGCAAATCCATATTATTTAGTATGTGTGCATATTTTTGTGATTTGACACTATAGAGGTTTACAATTTTCAATGTCCGGAATTTGGGATTTGTAATTATTATTTACGAGGCATGATATGTCCACTAGCATTCACATATATATAGTAACACGTAGGCCATAAGTAGAGGTTTATACCGGGTACAGGTGTAGACCAACCACCTGGCAATTCTTTTGCATTTGTTTGGTTATAGGGTGGGGTGGGGATTGTTTGATGTGACCCCCGGGGTAACTGATATGAGCCACAGGGTAGGAACTGATCCTCAGGCAATTATGTATGTGTGGTTGTTTCGGTCTCTTTATACCAGTAAATGTATATATGAATATAGGGTGGGAATCTCAGCCGTTTAAGCATAATTATGATAAACATCTCGGATAATCCAGGGTAACCGATTTGTATAATTTTATATATAAATTTGACTGCAATTTATTTGTCTATCGATGTAAAAAGGTCTTACCCTGTAGCGCCGCTCGTTACAAGGGCGAGAGTTACTCTCCCCCCTCTCCGATGCCCCGCGACCGTCCGAGTATTGACTGAACAGCGTTGCCTGGCAACCAGAGGCAGTCAATACGGCCGCAAGCTGCGCAATTAAGATGGCTGCTGCCGCTGTCGCGGCACTGGGGTGCTGACTGATTGGGGATTAACTCGGAGGACCCCAATTAGCTGGTGCGGACGTGTGGTGATTAGCGGCGGTAGGCTCAGCATAGGGGAGAAACCGTGGCGATACTGCACGGCTGATGCGAGGTGGCGTTAGGCTGGTCAACCGTGTAGTGTAATCATGAGGTGGGATTAGCGGCTTACTTGCCGCTAATCAGGCATAAAGCCCGCCAAATGCCAGAGCCAGCGGCCATATTGGACACTCGCGGCACGCCCGCGCTGTTAGGGGCCGCCACCTCCTGGAGGGTGGTGGTACAAAATAGCGAGTCTTTGCCGTTAGGTGCCGCCACCATCCAGGGCAATAGTGGTGAAGCCCCGCGTACGCGTGTGTGTGAGACGCCGTGATTGGCGCGTGCGGCGCGTGCGTGAGCACGCGCCGCGGCCCGCCTTTGGCTATAAAGGCCGCGACCCGAGCAGAATCTGGGATTCTCTCTCGGCAGCCAGAAGCGACAGCGACTATAGATTGTAAACTGTAACTGTTCAAATCACAGTCTTTATTAAACTACATCAGTCATGGTAACTAACTGACTTCTCTTTGCCTGTCTTTTGGCTACGCATATAACACTAGAATCTACAACTAAATAGTAACGTAAATTCAAACATTACATTTGGTGCCGTGTCCAGGATTCGAACCTGGGTTATTGCTCCCAACCCCTCCCATCCCACCGCGCAACTGCGCCAAACGCTGTGTCGTACGCTGCGCCCTACTACGCTGATCCTCTACGCTCTGCTGCATTCTACGGTGCTGTGAACGCAGCGCCGTGCTGGTGGGGGTGGGTTGGGGGGTTGGGAGATGCTATTGTTGATGAGACGGCTCATGATTCGTATAGTAGATAGCACCGTGGGATGCTCACAATAACCAGAAACTAGCGACTCTCACGGCATCAAATGTAATGTATATCGCTCTCACATCCCTGTTGCTCACCATTATAGTCATCGCCACATATTGCTACTGTTGTCGCTGCCGCCACCCTCACAGCCCCGAGCACCAGCCCCAACCCAATCCAGCCGATCTTTCCCCACCTCCTCTCAGACGTACACGAATAGCAAGTTACCCACCCACCCCCACCACGACCACACCTTGTTCGCTATTTTCCGGCATGCCACTAACAATTCTTGAGCCCCAACTACGAATGGGTTCCTTCGACCCTATAACACCCACCTACCAGTCCAATGACCATGGTTTCCCCGGCCCGACCCTTCTTGCCAATACCCCACCACCCACCTCTGTAATGGTACGACCTCCTCCTAATGCAAATATCACACAAATACTTTCCGACATGGCCCCCAACTCCCCAATCCCTAAGGATTCCCTACTCACTCCCATACTGCACCGGCATATCTCTCTACTGCCCCGCCCAGCACACCGTTCTATGCCCACACCAGTTCCCTGCCCAACCGCCCCACCTCACGTCATCTAGCTTTCCTATCAGACGTTAAGCTAAGGTGATACGATTAGCGATATGCATCGCCATTCTATTATGCACCCTAGCACTTTATGAGTGGCCCATTATTTAATCAATACCGGCATAAGGATAGTTTTACAGCACCGACGACGTGCAGCGAGTGCACCGCTAGCACTAGTCTTGTTAATTAGTAGAGATAATCGTATTACCTTGTTTCGTAAAGCGCACTATAAGTAACACGCGTTTCATTTAAACGCATATATTTGTCAGACGCCGTTTAAAGCGGCCTATTTGTAATTCTGCTTATTCCGCGGCTTATACGCGACCGCATTCTATAATTTGTCCAGTGCCGCTATTGCACTAACCGGGCAGTCATTTTATATACTGTCCCGGCTATGATACTGTGCCACGTATTATCATACCACTTGAACATTGTCAGGACCCCTCCAACAACAGTCAGGGCGGGCCACACCCCAACGAATCACAACCACCGGCGCCGTCGTCTTCGGTGCCGATGCACGCCGGCGCCTCTGCGCCTGTGCCATCTGCACCCTCGGAGCCATGCCAGCGCTTACGCCGCATACGCCAGCGCAGCCTGTAGATGTGAGGTCTGTGCCGCAGGGCGGGGAGAAAGCGCGCTCCCTGCCTGCCGCAGGCCCGGTTCAACGGCACGCCAATGCCGCGCCACCCCTACCCCTACCCGGAACCTGACACCACTGGAGGATCCAGTGATGAACAGGACGACTCCAATGATGACTCTTGGGATGGCGAACGCCAATCGCCATTCCCAGATAGATACTACGTCGGCTCTTTCGTCAGGTCGGGCACAAACTCTGACCTCACGATGTATGAGTTTCGAGTCGGCGAGGACGACCCGGCGCATACAACGTTCGACCCTGAGCACATACGTCAGATAGCGCAAACACTCGCCACAGCAGCAATCTTGGCCGCTCTGTTGCAGCCACCCACCTCCCCTTCAAGACACGAGGAGGGCGAGCGCTGAGAAATCAGCATCATGAACATTATATATCTCTGTGAATGGCAGTGTTAGCTAGAATTTATTAGATGATTAGGTCCCTTCAGGACATATTTATAACAAGTAGCTCTGTACGGTGCGGACGACTACCACACCAGTAGTCCTTAATGTATTACTGTATTATTACTGTTATGTACTTTATTAGAATGCCACGACGTCAACGGCCCTCCCTGTGGACGGCCAGCCAGGAGGCTGGCATTCGATGTCCACAGGGTGGACATCGGTTTAGTGGGGGGAGAAGTGTAGCGCCGCTCGTTACAAGGGCGAGAGTTACTCTGCCCCCCTCTCCGACGCCCCGTGACCGTCCGAGTATTGACTGAACAGCGTTGCCTGGCAACCAGAGGCAGTCAATACGGCCGCGAGCTGCACAATTAAAATGGCTGCCGCCGCTGTCGCGGCACTGGGGTGCTGACTGATTGGAGATTAACTCGGAGGACCACAATTAGCCGGTGCGGACGTGTGGTGATTAGCGGCGGTAGCCTCAGCATAGGGGCGAAACCGTGGCGATACTGCACGGCTGATGCGAGGTGACGTTAGGCCTGGTCAACCGTGTAGTGTAATCATGAGGTGGGATTAGCGGCTTACTTGCCGCTAATCAGGCATAAAGCCCGCCAAATGCCAGAGCCAGCAGCCATATTGGACACTCGCGGCACACCCGCGCCATTAGGGGTCGTGACCTCCTGGAGGGTGGTGGTACAAAATAGCGAGTCTTTGCCGTTAGGTGCCGCCATCATCCAGGGCAATAGTGGTGAAGCCCCGCATACGCAGGTGTGTGAGACGCTGTGACTATAAAAGCCGGGACCCGAGCAGAATCTGGGATTCTCTCTCGGCAGCCAGAAGCGACAGCGACTATAGATTGTAAACATGTCTTTATTAAACTACATCAGTCATGGTAACTAACTGACTTCTCTTTGCCTATGTCTTTTGGCTACGCATATAACATTAGAACCTACAACTACATAGTAACGTAAATTCAAACGTTACAACCCATCTACTCAGTCTAATTTTGCTAATGAAACTGTCAAGGCCATAAATAAAAATTGTTGCTTTGTTTGTCCTTACCCGTCCGACCCAGAAAATATGGCCACACTCAAATTCTTTTTTGGTCTTGTTGAAACAATTTTTTTTCTTAATATTTTGTAAACCAACATATTTTTTTGTCAGTTTGGGCAAACCAACCTATTTTTAAGGATGGCCCTAAATGTGCATATATATGGCTTTTGTTTTCACAGGTGGAACACCTTCCTGGCTTTTCATGGATGGCTAATGTTTTCCCCAAACATCTTGAACACCCATTCAGCAAAGAAATGGCACTGAGGTCCACAATGCATGTTCTACCAGTTTCCTTGAACAATGAAGTAGCGTATGAGGGATGTGTCCGAATAATGGATGAATATGTACAGATGATAAACAGATGGTTTGCCAAAGCAGGAAGAGGTACTTGATACAGCAATACATTACTAATGAAATCTTAAACTTTATTATATTTATATTTACTTTGTTACCTCATGTGTCTGCCTCCATCAAATTACGTATGAATTCAGTCCAAGTTAAAAAAAAATTATCCGATTTTGATATTCGGAAAGTTCTAAACGTTTTAAATAGATTTAACTAGACATTAAAAATTGACATGTTCTCCATGTCCAGAATGAATTCATTTTTGGGGGAAAACTCATGCTGGCACTTGTGTCTATATAATTATACTGCACATTGAAAAGGGGTTAAATTTGACATCTGTAAGCGCCCATATTTTTTCTAGTTATTTCAGGTTTGCACCATATATTATTTCTGTGGCACAGTGATAAGTGCCCAGGGGAAAAAGTGCTAAGTTGGATGAACTGCAGAATATTAACTGAACACCCATGGGTGTACTTGAATGAGTTACAATTAGGTTCCAACCGATTGTCACTCAGTTGCATTCCTATGCAGCAGATGGACAAGTTTGTAGTCAGATGCAGTGTAATTTATGATATTTGTAGGCCTCAGTTGTTATGTTATTGTGTTCGTTAAGATTATTCAGTGAATAATTTATATTATTATTTAAGGCATTAAACCTGTAGTTTTCTGTTTTCAGGAGACGAGTTGGAAGCTTTGCGAGTTCCAGTAGGTGGAGACCAACTGACCAGGGTTAGACTGCAAGGGGCCAAGGCTCTCCGAGCAGGGACACATACAACCCAGCAACGACTTGATCAGTTGTTTCCTGTCATTGTCGAACTTTTTCACACACAACAGGATTTCCTTGAGGTATAGTGAACATGAAAAAACATTTTAGAAACAGGGACCATCCTGGAGGACAAGAATAGGAAGAAGTTTTAATAATTTCAAAGGGAAAGGCTGCTGAGTAAGATAGATTTTGTTTATATTTATGTTAAAACACTTACACTGTTTATCACAAGGAGATCTTTGGAAAGACTATAGACTATATTATCCCTGTCTTGGATGGTCCCTGCTAAGTTGCATGACATCATTCTTTTAATAAAGAGTAAATACATAATCTTTTATTTTCTCACTCTTTGCATAGCGGATTTACTCACCATGACATGAACATTCACAGAGCATAACAAACTGTTGTTTGTCATGGATTCAAGAATGCCACTGTATCTCTAACTTTATCCATGACATGCTTTATTATCGCAACAGAAAGGGCCTGGTCTCGGAGGAGGGGAGCAGTGATGTAATGCTAACGTCAAAACCTTGGCTCCTCCTTTGGGATGCAGGGTGGGCTGGCAGAAGCGTCTACTTCTTGGGTTAGGCTGATCTTCTCCAACCACTCATACTCGGGTGTGAAGTTTCTGCTGAATACGGTGGGGTCTGGCAAAGGTAGGTTGGCTACAGGACGGGGCTCCGGGTTTTCCTTATTAAAGAAAGCTGGTCGGATGTTGGAGAAGGATTCAGGAATCTCAGGAATTTTCTTTCCTATGTTGTTTGGAAGTTGGAGTGATGGCCTTATCTCGCCCTAATTATCGGGGCTTGGATGTTGGAACATTGTACCATGAAAAGATGTATTTGCCGTTGTTGCTGTGGGACTATGTTCAATGTTGTCAATGGCAGAGGTGGTGAAGAGTCCCTTTCGCAGAATGGGTGGGCACACAATCCCATCTACCACATACTGGTTCACCACGGATTCCCCTAGCAATGCAGAAACTTCCAACACTCTGTCGTAGGAAATGATAATGCCATTCTCATGAAGTATGTCAATGAGTGATTGCTTTCGTGTCTTTGAAAACACCGCCATCCCGGTTGAGCAATGGCGCAATGGCTGGGCATGGGGCAATGGCGCATTGGGCAATTGGCGCAAGGGTTGGCGGCTATCTTGGAAAATGGACGTTATGTTGGAATTTTAGGTCGATTATTTTTACACCATTGGCTTCAGCATGGTCTAAAACATAAGAAACGACACCAAAACCTCCTCAATCGAAAAACCAAATCAATTTCGATTAGAAAAGGTATAATTTGGAGATTCTGATGGCGGCCATCTTGGGAAATGGCCGCCATTTTGAAATTTCAAGAGGCTAAGACCGTTTTCTTGTCAAGTGTCCCATAGAAACTGCTCGTGACAATTTTCATGCTTGTATCACTAACTGAACGATTATGCCTAAAAACACTTAACCGCTCCACTATTACAGATACACTAAATGCAGGGGCGGCGCCACCAGGGGGGGGCAACCGGATTCCCTGGCGAGGGGGGGGGGCGTCGCCGCACTAAATCAATTTGCCAAGAAAAGGCCAAGAATGAAGAAAAAGAAAAGAAAAGAAAAAAAAAAAGAAAAGAAACATCTTGCAAAATGTCTTGCAAATGATGGTGGGGTGGGGTCAACCCCTTTCCTGCCGAAAAATCGAAAGAAGTATGTGTCGAAATCAATTCCATATAAAACCTGTGCTTAATGTTGATCATCGATGTCAAGGTGTTATTTCCTTGGAGTCCAAGTTGGGAACCATATTTTGCGATAGATGCTGTTTCCGAGCCGAGAGAGAAGGTAGGCCCACTTGAGGTCGTTAACAACTTATAAATTATAGACATCACAACGAAGTTCAGACTGACCATCTAATAATATCTCTTTACCACTCACTATTCTTATATTTTTACCAGTTGCGTGAGTTCCGCTCCACGAAGTGAGGGAGTTTATGTGATCGGGTCTGTAACGTTTGTGTACACGTAGCGTGGTGTCGTGTGCTGTTGTCGTGTGTGGGTGTGGTGTTGTGTGTGTGTGTGGACACAATCAAGTATTTAGCGCTTCCAGCGATTGCTTGAAAAACCAGCCACACAGCCAGGCTTGCTGCAGACCTGAGCGGCGAGCGAGCATTAACATTACGCTGCGTATATTCGCACACGGGTTTATTCGGGTGTTCGTTAGACGTCGTATGGCGTATTGTTTCGCACTGCGGAGGTTAATGCTATCTCTCCGTGAGTCGCCCTCTCGCTAGTTTACGTTAGTGTGAAAGCGCAGCCCGCGTTCCCAGCGCCTCCAGAGTGGCCCGCGCCGCGTCGGGTGTGAGCGTGCGTGTGCGTGCGTTCAATCTCTCTCCAGGGTGCATGTTTTCTCTCCTCAATACTACATACAACAATTAATTGGTTCAGTGCTAAATACAGCAATAGATTCGAAGCCAATCATCGTTCCCCCACAGTTTCCGGAGAGCCCCTTTTAAACGTGTCCCACAGTTTCATCGCATCTGAAATTTCAATCCCAAATCCTAGCTAGTTCCGGAGACCCCCATTTTCGAGACAAGCCGGTTCCCAGACGCATACAACATGTCAACAAACATTTAGTCTGCAAGACCCGATCCTATCTTCAAGTCCTGATGTTAGTTCCCCGAGCCCCCCCCCCCACATTTTAACTCGCAGTGCAGCATACCAGATACCTAACCATAATGTGGGGTGAGCTCCCCCCCCGGGTTTCATGCTCCTGGTAATATGTTCCCTTGTTCCCTGCAATCAATTTTTTGTCGATCAATGCAAGGGCTTTGATTAGCTAACTCTGAGAGCTCCCCGGACCCCTGCAGCGCTCTCTGCACCCTGGACCCCGCCAGGGGCAGCTAAGGTTGCGCGCTGGGGTCCCAAATTCATCAACGTTTTTGCGCCAAAGTGTATGCGTACAGGCCAAGAGTTTATACGAAAGTAACGTGAAGCGCGGCTCCGACGGTACGCAAAGCTCGTAGGTGCGATTCATCAACTGCAGCTAGGCACTGCGTACGCGAAAGTTGATGAACTTCCGGTGTAAATCACTACGCCATCGTCAGCGCTGGCTGTTGAGGGCGTGCCTAGCATAGAACCAATCACCACTGTGCGACACATACCATAAGGAAACCGAAACTGACGCCTCCCTCTTGTATGTAAACCCATAATGAGCTCTAGCTGTCTACAGACGTGCTGGGGGATGTGATTCAGTTGCTCCTCATTTTCAGTTTGTATAACTTGGTGTTCAAACACTCAATGAAAGCAAGCAAACACGTACCACCCCCCAGTACCAGATAGCCGAAGCCGGGTAGCGTCGTGGTGTCGCACATACACGTGACGTGCGTGTGCACGTACCCGTGCGTGCTTGCGTACGTACACGGGCGTGCGTGTTGTACGTACACGTGCGTGCTGTGTGGCACTACAAATGCGTGCGTGTCACGTACATCGGCTAACTACGACTCCGTTATAACGAAAACAGATGCGCAAGCTATGACGAAAACAAACTTCAAAGGCGCCCGCCTGTCTGTAGTAGTATGGTAATTTATTTCTTTATTTTTAGTTGAGTGTAATTTTATGTTTTCTCGAATAAAATAATGGCAGCTGCGGTATGCAGGAAACACCCTGCGGGAATTTCGAGGTGGTACGCACCTCGCACTCGTGTAAAGTTACGCAAAGGTTTACGTAAATTTTAGCTTGATGAATTGCACCTAAAACGGCCTCGCTTGCGTACGCGAAATCGTACGAAAATTTACTAAATAGCTGTGTTGATGAATCGCAACTAAGCAACGTCGATTGCGTACACAAGATTTACGCAAAATATTTTGCGTACGCAGCTTGATGAATCATGAATCTACCCCCTGGACCCCACCCGTCAGTGCAAGCGCACACGGTATCAGAGTCTACAGTTCCCAGGGGCGTGTACAGGGGGGGTCCAGGGGGTCCGGACCCCCCCCCCCTACTCGCGCAGAAAACGCATATGAGGGAGTTTAATTTCAAAAATTTCTGGGGGAGACCCCCAGACCCCCCTTCGCGTGCTCCTCTACACGCCCCTGGTTTCGCCCCCCTAAGAAAATACCCTAGCGCCACCCCTGACTAAATGATAGGATTGCTGCCCTAACACAGGTGCAGACAACTATAGACATGATGATGTTAACATTGCAGGATATTACGGGTATAGTAGCTGGACTTGAACATCCACTTAGCAGCTGTCTCATGGGAAAATTACCCATGTCCCTAGTATCACCAACCCAGTTACAAGAAGTATTACAGGGTATCAAATAAGTCATCCCTAATTACCTCGCCTTACCTAAGGGAATAGATGACACATTTTATACTATCACAGTCTCATATACACAGTTGTAGTACCGGTTCGCACGTCTTTCCATGTTATCACATTTCTGCCTCTAAAACATGTCGGACAAATTTTTAATATCTTCCAAATTCTCCCCGCACCCGTTTACATTAACGGCACATCAGCATCCGTATACTATGTCCTCGATGAAAAATATATACCATTTGCCCAGACCAAGACACGCATATTTTTACCCTAAATCAGAACTTGCTCGCAAATGTCTGGATGCCACGAGTGGCATCCGCCAATCTGAGTCTGAAATCTACTACGTATCAGGATCCACTGACTGTTTAGTAACACTATTTCTGAGGCACAGCACTGACATATCAACATATTGTCAGCGCAGAGTAACGGTGCAATCAAAACCAAGACATTTAGTCAGATATATCTGTAATGGCCATTGGCTTATCTCACCAATTAAACCCTTCCGCCTGACGATTTCTTGTCAGCCCACTAACAACCAGGCACCTATGGTTTACTGATTTACAAATAATTACCTGCCAAATTATCTCCTTGCAATCAGGCTGGTCTGCACATTCTGCGGATTTAACCTTACCTACCTTCTATTACCACGATTCGACGGTAAACTTAACTACCACTCTTACTCAGATTTTACCTCCCACACTAGCAACACCAACAATTTGGGCAGATTTAGCAGAACTAGATGTTAAGCGCGGCAACGCAACGGATTTAATCCCCACCTCAGTCCTTCCCCAATAATCTTTATAAGACGCGTGACCTAGACCTGGCGTACATGGGCGTAAATCCCGGGGGGATGGGGGGATGCACCCCCCCGCTCTTGAAAGAGGGGGGATGGCCTGTACAAATATCCCCCCCTGAGATTCAAAAAAAAAACTCCTTCCTCCGTGCCCCACTTGAAAGTCTGTCTTGCATACCATGCAATAGCCATGATTAACACTGAGTTTTGACTTCACAAGTACAGGCCACATCTGTGTATATTCGTTCCTGAATTTCTGTAAAAGTCGGGTTTTTTGGATGGCAATGGCAATTGGACGCCATTCTC